CACAGGGAGGAAGTCGGAAGAGTGCTGCTAACACCGTGAGGATTACAATTAAAACTCTTAAAATGAAATGTGGACCAAAGGTCAACTGGAAAAGCAATTTGTGCTGTAAACTTTGTCGCAAATCTCAATTAAAGAAAATATTCTCCTCTTCCAGATATTTTATCGTAATGAGAAAATATCACTATCATGTGACTTGTAGTGAGAATTAAGACCATATTTTGAAGGTGGGCACAGGGGAGCGCCCTCGACCCCCACTTCTTTTCTCATCACAAGATTCTCCAGCCCTGAGGCAGCCACAGAACAACCCAAAGACCGGGGAGGGGAGAAGTAGGGACTTCCTAAACATGCAGGTATCTCAGCGCCATTTAGAGATACCGAGTCGCAATAGAGGCGGGGCAGCGGGGCTGGAGTTTGGGGAAATCTGTGCTTTTCACAAGTCAAGCATGCAAAACCCCACCAAGTTGGGAGAGCCTGTCTCCACAACCGCAGACAGTAACAGGTGAGTTGCCTTACCTTTCCCCCCAAGGCCTGCAACCCCCACAGCCAGCGGTTCTCAAACTTTGCGCTGGAAGAGCATGGCCGATAGGGGCCCCACCTCGGTGAGCGCACGGGGACGGGAGGCTTTAAAACAGGCGATCGCGCGCTCAGGTGGCTGACGGGCGCTCGGACCCAAGACCACACTTTGCAAAACAACATAAAAGGCGAAAGCAGGGGCACTAGGACACGACTGCTTTTAAAAGGAAATTGAAGAGTACCCCAAACTCTAAGCACCCAGCCACGGTCCCATTTCTCCCATTCAAGACCCCTTTAAGGTGAAAAAAATTTTCAAGCAGCCAGGCAGCCCTCTAATCCCAGGTTCCCAGGATTTCGAGCTTTTGAGGAAGAAGTTTTCCCATCAACATGGCCCCAGTGACCCCAAATCGCCCCCAAACTCCGCCGGGGGGCGGGGAACGCGGCCAGAAGGTGGCGAGGGTCTCCATGGCAGTAGCCCCCCGCTGCCGGGCCAGGGGTCCGCGGAGCCGGAGCGCGCCCTCCTCCCGCGCCGGCGGGGCGCGCCCACCCCGAGCACCCAGCGGAGCTGCCTGTGCAGCGCGTTGCCGCGGTCCCCGAGAGCCCGCTCGCGGCCGTCACCCCGATTTCGGGGCCCCGGGCCTGCTGGCTGCGCGGCGGAC